GCAACAATACAGGCCGTTATTACTCTTCAGCAGGCTTTGCTGTCTCATATACTTTTAATTTATTAAGGTCTCTTAAAAAAAACTGTGATTTTAAAGAGAGTTTACAAAAAAGTTGGAATGAAAGTTTCCACAGCTTCTCACAGGGACAGAGTCTTAAACTAGAGAAAGAAGATGGTCAAAACTTAAACATGAAACAGTCATAATATCAAGGGTCTCAATGTGACAGCTGGGTTTCCTGAGAGGGCTACAACCTCAGTCTTCTTACCTCATACAAGGCAGTCTCTCCCAGAAAGTGGAGGCACAGAGGACTAGCAGAGGAATTAACTGGGTCTTTCCTCTCTCTTTTCTTGGGGAGACACTGGAGGACCTCTGGTATTCCAAAATGTGGCCCAGGGCATTGCCAGCTATATAATTCGAAATGACACTGTCTCACGCGTCTTCACCAAAATCTCCACTTTCCTGTCCTTGGAAAAAAAACTAAAACTCTCTTCCAACAAGAAGAATCACTTTCACTCCCTCTATTCATCTTGTCTTATTGGCTAGACCCTCAATAAATGTGTCTTAACTGAGAGGAAATGCTTGTGTTTTGGTTACTCCCTGGTCGTCTTTCGTATACAGCAATTCTAGATGAGGGAGCTCTGAGGCCTCTGGATAAGGTGCTACACCGCCGAACCAAAGGTAGAAGCTTTGAATCCACTAGCTTCTCTGAGGGAGAAGATGGATAATCATTTTTGCAATTTATACCCCTTGAAAACTCGCTAGAGGATCTCTTATGAGCCAGTACAGGCTCAAATGTTGTGAAATTACGACTTATATATTTCCTTTTTTTTCAATACTACTTATAGGAGGCCTATAACATGATCATGATCTGCGTCCATTTTCCTCTTACCTCCCCCTTTACATCCACAACCCATAAGCAAAAAATGACTCTCATATCTCTGTGGCCTTTTTGAAGGGCTAAGGCAGAACAATCAAAGGAGGAAACTCAAATTCTCAGGTTCTGTGCTCAGATGAAATTCTAGCCTCTACTCCCTGTGCAACATGGCAGAGATGAAGTCAGTCCTTACTGGGTTCAGGAGGACAAATGGGTCAATCCAAAGTCTGTGGCTAAAAAAAGAACAAAGCACTTCTTGCTCATATAGTCAAGGAAGCTGGCTACTTTGAAGGATCAGGTCCTTGAGAAGCTCCTCATTCTCCCATGGTATTCATTGCCATACTATTAGGATTGTAAAGCCCTTTCCTTGCTCTCCCAGAATGGCTACTAAAATAATCCAATCACAGGAAACAGCAGTTGTGATTTTTCTTTAAAAGATGAGAAAACCCCCTAGCCCCGATCCCAGAAATAATTATCTGAGGCCACAGCCATGGTGGACAGTGTTTGCTGGAGCTTCCCGACTAAAACAAGCCTGGAAGCAGGTGTGGCATCCACTTCTGACATGACTTGCCTCTGGCAACTCTATGAACAGTGCTCAGGCCTTTCGTTCAAAGTGTTGCTATGAGTTGTCTATGACTCAACGGCATATAACAACAACAACAAGAACATAGGAATTAATTACTGTTTTGCTTCTTGGCATGAGATAGGGGGTTTTAATTGCTTACTTTCACATCTTCTGCCAATGGTGTTTGTAAGAATAATCTGCTTGCCAATTGGTAAGGAGAAACTAGGGAGGAGGCTAAAACCCACTAATCTTTTAAGTGGTGGTAATGCGGCTGTTTGCTTAGAAAGGAAAGAGACCCCAAATAAACAAAGCACTTCTGAAAAATAAAAATTAAGTAGGCGGCAAAGAACCCCTGACCTCAAAACCTACTACACAGTGGTAGTAATGAAAACAGCATCGTATTGGAACAATAAAAGGCACATAGAACAATGGAACAAAATTAAGAACTCAGAAATGGACCCATCTATCTATAATCAACTGATATTCAACAATGAAATAAAACATATCAGATGGGAAATGGAAAACCTCTTTAAGAAATGCTGCTATCAAAACCGGACTGCTACCCACAGATAGCTGAAACAAGATCCACAGCTCACACCATACACTAAAATCAACTCAAGGTGGATCAGAGAGACCTGGGAGTAAGCACAAAACCATAAAGTTCATCAGAGAAAACTGAGACCAAGATTAGACATCCTAGACTATGGTATAAAGAAACTGCCAAGTACAACCAGGAATGCATAACCTGGAGAGAATAAAATGGATAACAGGACTTTTTAAAGATTAAATCCCTCTGCCCATAAAAACCTTTTTTCAACAGAGTAAATAGAAAACTGACAGAGTGGAGGGGGTGGGGGGCTGGGAATCAAAACATTTGGCAATCCCATTTAGACTAGGGTCTCATATCAAAAGTTACAGAAACTGCAGGGGCTACACAGGGAAAAAACTGATAACACAATTAAAAAAATGGGCAAAAGATATGGAAGGACTTTTCACAGAGGAAGATATTCAGGTGGCCAACAGACACATGGAGAAATGCTTAAAATCACTGGCAATAAGAGAGATGAAAATCAATACCACAATGAGAGACCACCACACACCTGTAGAAATGGCAACGTTTAGCAGCACAACAAGCAACACATGTTGTAGATGAAAATGCACAATCTAACAGGGATAAAACTGATGCATGAGACCTTCTATAGATTAAATCCCTGTGCACCTCAACAACTTTTTCCAACAGGGTGAAAAGAAAATCTACAGACTGGGAACAAATATTTGCTAATACCATCTCAGACAAGAGTCTTACAACAAAAGATTACAGAATACTCATGGGCCTCCACAAGAAAAATACTCATAACCCAATTGAAAAATGGGAAAATGACTTTTCACAGAGGAAGAAATTTGAATGGCAATCAAACACATGAAGAAATGTTCCAGATCACTGGTAATAAGAGAGATGCAAATCAAAACCACAATGATGTATTATCTCACTGCAGTAACTGTGGCAAAGTTTAACAGGGAAGCAAGCAATAGATGTTGGAGAGGATGTGGCAAGAAAGGAATTTTTATACATTGTTGCTGGGATTGTAAAATGGTGCAACTGAAAAGTATTTTGGAACTTCCTCAAAGTGCTGAACATAGAAATTCCTTATGATCCAATCTTTCCATTACTTGAAATACACCCTGAGAATGCGAGAACTGAGGCACAAATTGAGGCACCAATATTCATACTAGCATTATTC